TCTCAATGAAAATTTTGTGCGTACCTCCTTCATTCACTCAAAGTGAACCTCTTTACAGCACAACGGAAAACATATTTGAATCCAAAAGAAACAGGCTGTTACATGGGCATGAAAAACAGATTATGTTTTTAAATTATAATTGTCTAGATTACCGATTAAATGTCTAGATTACCGACTAACCTATATCGAAATGGTCTACATTTGCCGACTAACTAGTCTAAAAGGGTCCGATTTACTGACTAAGGGTCTAATTTGCCGACTAAAAATCATTGATGGGGGAAGTTGCACTCCCTATCACGCCGGCCTTGCTACTAAGGTTGTTTTGTTAATTTTTAGGACGGGTCGGACTCCGGGTACTTTTTGACTCCCGACTCTAGATTCCGGATTCCAAGATAGAAAAAAATCAAAGTTGGCTTTTTTACAAAATAACCTAATTTAGATGTTTAAAAACGTTATTGAATAAATATTTTTAAAGAATTTTGAAAAAATTAATGAAAATAATTAGTTTAAAAAAAAGGCTTTACAAAAAATTTCTCCTATTTTTTTCTCATTGATTTTTTTTTAATTGGATTTTTCTCAAAAACGTCAAAAAAATAATCATGGCGTTTTAAAAAAAAACTGTCAAAAGAAGCTCGTATTTAGTTAAAAAAAAAAGTATAAGTAAATTGTTTAATTTTACTCTAAATAACGCATGTTTTTGAGCACAAACATACTGGAATTCTTGAAGGTGCTTATTTGATGCATGAAAACCATTTAACAAATAGGCCTGGTGAATAAAAAAAAGCAATTGCTTTTACAATTATTTAGCTTTACGCGAATGAAAGTTTGAGCAAAACCGATTTTATTGACGTTGAGTTTAGCAATTTATTCTAAAAACTCTGAGTAATTGCTCAACTTTACGTGAATTTAATTTGAGCAAAATCGGTAAAGTTTTTATTCACGTAAAGCAGTTGTTTATTTTTATTCACCCGGCCGAATGTAATGTGCTGCAAAACACACTAATAATAATATTGTTCTACTTGTACCCATTCGCACCGGCAACAAAACAAGTTTTAAAAGTAGTATTTTAAACAAGTTTTTTTTTTTTATTCACGTCGAATTTAGAACTGGTTTTAATACCACGCAGAAAGCACAAAAAGCTATATAGATAAAACGACCTTGCGATGTTATTTTAATATAACACAATTAAGACGCAGTTTAATTAAGTTCAGGTTAGGGGTCGTCCATAAATTACGTCACGCAATTTTTGACCAATTTTGACCTCCCCCCCTCGTCACAAAATTGTAATACTTAAGAATCAAGTTTTGTATGAGTCGTCACAAAACCACCAACACCTCCCCCCCCCCCCTACAGCGTGACGTAATTTATGGACGAGCCCTTAAGCGTGATTGGGTTATTAAAGATTAGCAAAAGGTTTATTAAAGAACACAATTTAAAATAAGAAAAACTTTCATTATGAATTATTCAAATATGACGTTATGGACATTTATTTTCCAAAAATTGAGTTTTTTAAAATTTTACAGATATCACTTTTTTATTCTAAAAATTTAGGGTCAAAACTTTATTTATCCTAAAAATTTAGGGTCAAAACAATACTATTTTTGCATTTGAAGTACATTTTAGGGTTGATTGTTTAACTCGTTTCACTACTGATTCTAAAAAATAATGAAAAACCTTAAGATAAGTTTATTAAACATTTTATTATAATGTATTTACAATTTATATTTTACTACAGTGTGATTTCAAAAATTATGATTGCTGCTGCTTTTATGGGCTTGAAATATTTAATATTAAACCGCTATTATAATAATAAAATCAAGGTCAACGACACCTGGGAGGGAGAGGGGTCTAGGGGTAGTGCCCTCCCTCCATCTCCCTCCCCCCCCCCCCTAAATTATTTTTTAAGAAATTTTTTTTTAAGAAATAAAGAGGTATTTTTTTAAAAATTGACAATTGTACCCCTCCACGTGTCGCCGACCCTGAAAAAACTACCCAGTTGCCTTAATATTGCAGGTGTACAATTAACGATATATTAAGAATAAAAATTATAAAAAAAATAATAATATTTTACTGTACTAAGCATGTTGCTTTCAAAGCAATTAGCTATGTGATAAGCAAAGTGATAAGATAAGTGATAAGCAAAACTTTGATAAGATAAAGACTTCTTGAAATACTTTATAATCATATTAAAAAAAAAATTGGATGAAAACAAGCAAGAAGTTTTGAAAACACATCATGTTAGCTTTATTCATTTCTTTTTTTAAACTTGCGTTTACGAATTAATGTCTAAACATTGCTATCAACATATTTATTGCACCATACTATTAACCACATTATTCCCATTCGAAATTCTTATTAACCCAGACAGATCCAAGATGAGACAAATGTGATTCTGACAATGATTTATTTCTTCGCAAATGCATACAGAATTTTTTCAAACGCATATGGTCGGACCACAAAATTGATAACTTTTTTTATCAAAATAAAAAAAAATAAAAAAAAAATTTTTAGGAAAAAGAACTCTAAGAAAAAATACTTTTACTCCTTACGAACTCTTTTATATTAGGAAGATTCGATTTGTTTACTTCCAGTTAATAACTTGCTAAAATTAAAATATTCTGCAAACATTTTTTCTGAAGCTATCAACAAACATTCACTTATGTACTTGTCCCTTCAAGATGTTTGTTGACCCCGATGTATTTTTTTAAAAAACCCAAGTCTTACATGAACCTAATTAAAAAAGCGCACTATATATTAGTTAAATTTATCGAAGAAACATTGAGCCAGTAAAAAAAAAATACTTATAAAAACAGCGCGATCAAAAGGGAACTCAACTCAAAATTTTTGAGTTACGCCTCAGTGATCCTAAACCTCTATTATTTTTAGGCAATTAAAAAACATTAACATATTTTATATTATTCTATCTGATTTAATTAAAATTAAAACTCTAACAATTATGTTATAATGCATAATTGCTTTTTAACTCACATGTTCTGCATGTAAAGGAAATTTCACACCCTTCTGTGGTTTTTCCGAATCATTTTTTTAAAATAAATTTCAGTCTACACTAATCTAATATAAATGTAATCCCATATAAAGAATTTATTCCTAAGTGGAAAGGAAAATTATTTAAAACATTTTCTCAAAAATAAATAAGACAATAGCTCAGTTTTGAAAATTATATGTATATAAAGTAGAACTTTTTTTTAATAAGAAATATATGTATATAAAGTAGAGCTTTTTCTTAATAAGAAATTTATATTTTACAGAGATTCAACATCAACTAAATCAGGATCTTCTTTGGTCCATTTTTCAATAAAAGTTTCTTCTATATTTTTCTGGTTATTTATTTGACATTCACTTGAAGAACTTCCATGCTCCGTAGAAACTTTATCATTTTCTAGAACAAAAGGGTTAGAACAAAACCGGCATTTACAATTTAAGCAAGCACGACCTTGAGAGTAACAAGGACATCGAGATCGCTTACAAATGTCATTAAGGTATTTTATGTTGGTACCAACCCCACAACCACAAACCTCTCTTATTTCCTTTGGTATCCATGGTTTTTTACATTTTTGAAAATCTTGCATTTGTTCAAAGTCACTATCATCTGAAAATATAGCATAATTTGTAATAAATGTGCTGGCCCTTCGTTTATTTTTACGGCATGATTCAGAATTAAAGTTTTCAGATTGAATGTCTTCTAAATGAAAATTCGAAAAACCTTTTTTATTAAATCCATTTGTAATATTATATTGAACATTATAACTGGAATCGTCACTATCAGTATTCACTCTCTTCATTTTTAATTTAAGTGGTTCTAATTTTTTTTCTATTACTTGAAGATCACTTTTTTCTTTGCGTTTTTTTTGATAAACTTTTTTACCAGTTGAAATGTATTCATCAGCTATTTGAGGAGGAGTTAATGCAAGTCCAAACTTCTCAAAAATGTTCATACTGTTGCGCTTTGAAAGTATTCTTGATGAAATAGTTTTTTTTTTTTTTGATTTTATAACAGGATCGATGTTTTTTTTGAAATTATTACCTTTAGAAACAATAAAACCTTCTTTACCATTGGGTTGGGACTTTGATTTACTTTGAAAAACCTCATTAATTTCTTTTCTTTCTATTGTTCTGCAATCATTATAAGGGGATGGCAATTTTTCATTTTCACAGTCAGAAAGTGGTTTTGGATCATGAGAAAAATCTGCATATGTTTTTTTCCTGGTTGTTTGACATTTGTGGCAAGTATAACAACTAGAAGATAAATCTATTTGAATATTAGCATCTTTTTTCATAACGTCTCTATTTTTTTTGAAGGACTTTTTTTCAAAAATAAAGTTATTATTGTTTTGAAGGATAGAAGAATCTGATATTTTAGTAGTTTTTTCATTTTTAGAATTTTCTTTCTCCGGTAACAAAAAACAATCTTCATTCAAAAACTGAATTAGTCTTTGTTTGGTATTAGAAATTCCTGATCCACCGTCCCACCCGGTAACATAATTGAGTAAAATGGCGCACAAATTATTATACAATCCGAGTAAAATTTGGTGTTTGTAATCTATAACTAAGCTACCTTCATTTCGACACCATTTGCAACCATTAGAGTTTTTATTTTCGTTAAAACATGATTTGCATAAAATATGATTACAATACTCAGCACCATAGTGTTCTTTGCCTAATTTTCTACACGATCGACATGATAAGTACGTTCTTAGCTTGTATAGTCCTTTTTCAGGATCAAGGAAGATACTTAAAGACTCCTCAGAAGCGTCTGTCTTTAACATAAATACTTGACGAGATAGCTGAGTATACAAAATAGTAGCATTCATTTTTAAATAACTTTATTGTAACATTATTACAAAAATATTTACTGACTTCTCTCAAGTAATGAACTTTATTTTCAATACGGATTTTATATATGGTCTAACATGCTAAAATTTTAAAAATTAACAACTAACAAATGACATTTCAAAATACTTATTTCCAGATCTCGCGCTGTGTTTTTGCGACTTCCATTAATTGAACAATTCCGCTAACACTGCTGTTAATCTTGCGGAGCACCTTTTTATAAACCAAAATGTCTTTGTATAAAGCACTTTTGCCTTGTAAAGTTTGGCGTAATGCACTTGTCCCTTCAAGATGTGCAACTGTTTATAATCCAATAGTTGAGAAAATTACCAAAAAGAGAGAAGCGGCTTTGCTTGGAGGAGGACCAAAACGCATAGAGAGCCAGCACAAAAAAGTATAAATTGTTGTTTCTAAAAATAATTTTTAGAGAAAAATTTAAAAGCATGCAATCAGCAATTATGTATTAAATTAAATTAAATAATATTATATTATGTTATAAAAAACGTTGTTTTAAGGATATGACTTGAAATATTTTGTTAATTTTAATTCTCCATATTCTAATAAATAAAATAAAAAAAAAAAAAGTGCAAGATCCTAAAAAAGGTCACGTCCCATGACCCCTGAAGACATGCTGGGTGCCATAAACTATCAAAAGCGTTTTTCTCCCAATGTCTATCAAGTTAGGTCTTAAAAGAAGCGAAGTTTTCATAATTTATTAAAGAAATTGATTTTTGTAAATCTTGTTTTAATATAATCTTCGAAAATATATTGTTGAAAAACTTTAAAAAATGCTTCTTTAAAATTTTTGTTTAAAAAAGTTAGTTTTAAATTAAATTTCAAGTAATAAATTTTTTTCGGAGCTTTCCATAAAAGTTTGCTTCTTTTAAGACCTTTGCTACTTTTTAGACTTGATATATTTTAGGAAAATTTTTTAGTAATATAAATCACCAACACCAACATGGCGCCCACCATGTCATTAAGTGGCTTGGGGTGTGGCATTTTTAAAAAGTTGTAACTTGCAATTGTTATTTTCTTGATTCTCACTCAAAAATTTCACAAAAATAATATAGGGATAGTATTTAAAAAGGAGTCATATCTCTAATATAGTATCAAAGAAAAAAATTCAAGTTGACTAAAATTAATAAAATTTTAGGTATGCTTAAACTAAGTTACATGAAGCCTTTTTTTTTTAATTGAAGTTTTGTGCTTCATTTTTTATATCAGTTTTAAAGTTGTAAATTGTTGTAGAAAGTTGTTTTTATATCTATTTTAAAGTTTTAAAGCACAAATAATTTTTTTTTGCCTTTTGTTGTTAAAAACTTAAACTTATATGTTTTGAAAAAATTGATACAAAAAGTTTTATTGAATTTAAAAATTACCTTTTGTAATTATCTGGCGCCCTGGCTATAAAAAGATAAATACTGACAATGTTACTTCAATTTTAGTTAAAGGAAACTCACTTTTTAATCACAATTTCAGCTACTTATCTCTTTAATTTAATTATCTCTGTTATCAAAATTTAATACTTAAAAGGGCAAAACCTTGTGTAGAATGGTTTTAGTTTTTGATAAAATTTTCATGTTTATGATACTGCAAATAAGCACTTATCAATCATTTCATAATCCTATATTTAAGTATAAAAGTACTTTTTAGAGATGTAACAAATATTTAATGACTATATGGCCTATTCAGTGTTTTTTTTACTATTTGGTATTCGGCCAAATACCAGATTGTAACGAGCAAAAAACATATTAAAATGGATTAAATATAACTATTTTTTATTTTAATAAATACTTGTCATCTTTGATACTTTAAACCTAAAGTGAAAGGTTATGATAAAAATATTTCATTGTTTCATGATAGCAAATGATTGTGAATTCATAATAAATTATACATACTTCCAAAAATAGCCATTTACAATGTACACTGCCATAAGCAAATAATTAGAAAATTTTAGCAAGTTCTGTTTGGAATAATTTTTTGCGCTTGCTGATCACAACTCGTAAGGGTTTATTGTTCAATTTGAGCAAACAGTTTCATGTAAAAACTAATTTAATTTGCAATCAAACTTTTCTTTTAAATTTTTTCATATGTATTCATATTTATTGTAGAGATTGGTTTGATCGTTTTCATTTATTTTCTTATGAATTGAAGATGAATCTTCGCAAGGTCTTCACTAGGCACTGGTAATGATTCATCAGTGTCAACCAATCTTTCACTGAGAAAGATTAACCCTTCACTGAATTTAAAAGTTCTTCTTGGTTAAAGTACAAAATATTCAGTTGCCACATTATTAGTGCCTTGTCTGAGCACCTAGCTGAATATTTGGTATTTGGCACAATCACTTTTCATCTCTACTATTTTTAAAAATTTAAGTTGTACCAATGTAAATATGTAATAAGTTTTTTGTTTTAGAACCCAGCTTAGAATGTATCAATTATGTAATGGTATTTTCTTTTTTACAGGGTAAATTAACTGCACGAGAACGAATTCATTTACTTCTAGATGAAGGATCCTTTCACGAATATGATATGTTTGCTGAGCACAGTTGTCATGAATTTGGAATGAATGAACAAAAGGTATTTAGTTTAAAACTTAGCTTTATTTTTCTATCAGCAATTAGAAAGACGAGGTTTTAAAATTAAGTCGAAGTCCAACTAATTGTGTTGTTATCATGCCAACTCTTTAGCAGTATTGAACTTCTAGAACTTATCTAATTGATGCAGAGGAAAAGGACAAATTTAGATTTCACAGTAAAAAAAAGGTTTTTTGTAGAGGTTTTTTTATATACAATTTTTTTCATGCCTTTTTTACAATTGAAAATTAAATTGAATTATTTATATTTGCTTTTCATATTTATGGGTATTACTTTTTAAAACTAAATTTACTAAATTTATCCTGGTTGTTTGAAATTTATGGCAAGTTCAACATCTTGAAGATATCTATTTAAATGTTTGCCACATTTTTCATAACATCTCTATTTTTTTTTTTTTTTTTTTTTTTTTAATTATCTTCGCTTCCAACAAAGCTGCAAGCAACCACTAATTAATGTTGGAAGTTACTGGAAGAGAAAAGATGAAGATTGTAAAACAAGATAACGATTGACAGACGACTTAAAAGATTGCAAATTATATGAATCAGAAAAGCAAGATGAAGGAAGCGAGTTCCAAAGACCTGATGTTCGAGGAAAAAAACTAGTCGAATAAGAGTTTTTGAAGCACTTTTTTTTTAATTTTATTTTTTTTTAATTCACCTCCTCAAGGCCGAGAAGGCCACTACAGACGAGGAGGCTACTTATTTGTGGCTATAACCCTCTCTCAACTCTATAACCCCGAAACACGAACCTTGACGAACAAGGCCGCTGCGCGGAGAAACGAGTTGAGCGCAGTACTACCAGGGACGTGGTGGGGTCGAACTCGAACTTAGGAACAGTAACAGAAAAAGGATGAGACTTAGTTGAATGACGAGTAACACGAGAATGAATTTTAGTAGATGGCACAAGAGAAGCTAGCTCCTTCGAGCAGTGACCATTATAGTATTTGTAGAAAAGAGAAAGAGAAGCAACATTACGACGATGTGACAGAGGTTGAAGGTTGGCTGCAAGAGCAGGTCCAACTATGTTTACAATGCGTTTTTGCACCTTGTTTAAAAGAGAAATGGCATCATTAGAAGATCCGCCCCAGATATGGCAACAGTATTCCATACAAGGCCGATTTTGAGATTTATAGAAATAGAGAATAGAATCCAGAGTAAGGAAGTGACGAGCTGGATAAAGAGAAGCAACTTTAGCAGATGCTAATTTTGCAACGGATTTGATATAAGGTTTCCAAGAAAGATCAGAAGTAAGAGTTAATCCTAGAAGATGATGGGTAGGAGACTCATCGAGTACATTACCGTAAATATAGGAAGGTCTAAATTATTGCGATAACGATTGGGTGAAAAAAATTAAGTTTTATCTGAAATAAAGTTCACCAGCCACTGTGAGTCCCATGCTGTAGCAGAAGTGAGATCCTTTTCAAGCTCAGATGCCCCCTGCAAGCAATCAAAGGGAGTTGGCTTTTATCGTGAAAAGAATAAATGGTAGTATCATAAGCGAACAATGCCACCTTAGATGTGAGAATATCTGGAAGATCGTTAATGTAAATTAAAAAGAGCATAGGGCCAAGGATTGAACCTTGGGGAACCCCTGAGGTTACAGAATAAGAAGAAGAGTGCTGTCCATCAAGGACAATTTTTTTACTACGATTGGAAAGAAAGGGTTCAATAATCTTAAAGATGTTTCCAGATACACCGTAAGAAGAAAGCTTATGGAGAAGACCAGCATGCCAAACTTTATCAAACGCTTTAGAAATGTCAAGAGCAATCGCCTTAACCTCTCCACCTTTATCTAATGCGCGATAAAACCTATCGGTTATTACTTTTAGCAAATCAGCTGTAGAACGAGAAGATCGAAATCCATATTGATGATCAGAAAGTAGGTTATGAGATTCGAGATGAGAGATTAAGTTTTTGTTAATTAAAGATTCAGAAACCTTGCTTATGATAGGAAGAGACTAATGGGACGGTAGTTAGACGAATCAGATCGCTCTCCAGAATTCTAAAAAAAAGGGATAACAGATGCTGCTTTTCAGCAGGCTGGAAAACAAGACTCTGATAAGCACTTGTTAAATAGTTTTGAAAGGATAGATTACAGCTCCGGAGAACACTTCTGCAAGACTATAACAGGTATGTTGTCCGGGCCGCAAGCTGTAGAAGAGTCTAATCGAGAAATCACTTTAGATACAGAAGCTGGAGTGATATGAATGTCGAGCAATGGATCAACCTGTTTGACGGCTATATCAGGTAGAACGCAACTAGTGGCATCAAGAGATGATATTGATGAAAAGTTCTTGGCAAACAATTCAGCTTTGTCTTTAGGTGAGGTGACAAAGTCTGAACCATACAAAAGAGGTGGAATTACAGACTTGCTCTTACTATTGATACTATTAAAGATTCTCCAGAAGTCACGAGAGCCTTATTTTTGTGATGAAATACGAGATTTCATGATCTGAGAATAGCGGGCTTTGGCGTTAGACAAAACCTTTTTTCAATGGTTAGCAGTGATAAACAGACGTCTGTTTTCTGGAGAATTGTTTTGCTGATAGATATGGAAGTAATGGTTTCGATTGGCAATTGCAGCAGCACAAGGTGAAGAAAACCATGGAGAAGTGTGAGGCTTGACCTGGAATTGTCGAGAGGGAATAAAGAATTCCATGCCAGCCTTAATCCATGAAGTTATGTAAGAAGCACATTTGTCAACAGGATGTCAAATAGATTTCTACCCAGGGGCCATCATGAAGAAAATCACGGAAAGAGTCCCAGTCAGCTTTAAGGTAGTTGTAAGATGTACGATGGTAAGGGGATTCTGATGGGAAAGAAGAATGAGATAATAGTTTTAGAGAGACCAAACCATCATCAGAAGCACCTAAGGGTGAGTGTGGAGAAACTTAGCACTGACTAGGATCAGAAACAAGACATAAGTCGAGTATAGAAGGTAAATGATTCGGGTTGTCTGGAAAGCGAGTTGTAAAGTTGACTATTTGAGTTAGGGGTTGAGAAAGACAAAAGTTGTGGGCCTTAATGCCTGCAGAGTCACTGACACTAGAGCTAAGCCATTCAGTGTGATGAACATTAAAGTCACCGACAACAACAATATTGGCTGATGGATAACGAATGAGGGCTTGGTCAATATAATCAGAAATAACATCAAGAAGAGTGCAGTCTTGAGATGAGGGAGAGTGATATAGAACAAAGAGAAAGGTGATAGAGTGAAGTGGTGCTAAACGAAAGCACATAAAAGAGTAGTCTGTGGATTCAAACCTAGTTTCCCGACAAATGAGTGAATTCTTACGAATGTAAATGCCCAGCCCAAGCATGTGACTATTGGAGTCTTTACGAATTAAAGGAAGATAACCATCAACACTAAGATCACAAGATGAGACAGCTGAACTCAAATTAGTCTCACAAAGAGCAAGTAGGTCTGGTGAACTTTGCAAGAGGTAAGACTCAATAGAAGAAAAGTTACTTCGAAGACCACGAATATTGGTGAATGATAGGTTTAGCGAACTTGGTGGTGACTGGTTTTTTGTGTTTTATAGTTTTTGTTGCTTTATTTATTTTTAAATTTGTTAAAGAACTTGACTCGAAACATAGATCAGTACACTGTTTTATAGCTCAAGCAATTGCCTCATTTCCACTAATAAACCCTAAGCCGTAACAAAGGGCTCCAATGTGACCTTGGCAATGCACAACAAAAGTACAAACAGGGACACCATCCATGCACAACATGGCACTGTTAGTACTCTGATATTTTTCAGCTGTTGATGGAATCAGCCTCTCTGAGAGCTACCACAGAGTTCAGGAAACCTGACTACCAGCCGGCCTCAGAACCATAAAACTGAGTTTTAGAGCTGTACCCTCATTTGGAGATAATAGAATGAGTTGCCTAGTCATAAAAACAGAGACACAAGCAAAACCCATGCATTAAGTCAAGAAGATCCAGCGTTCAACATCCTAAACTGGAAACAATGTATTAAAAATACATCTGCGCCAGCCTAATAGATTAAGAAGGGGTGCGAGGCTGGTCAACTGATAGAATCTGTTTACCCATTAAGTCTTTGCCTAGGAGGCCTTCTACAAGACAGCAGCCAGATGCATTTAACATCTGCCCAAGATGAGTATTTTTATCGAGACACCATCTCTAGCTTTTACTCAACCAAGAGCCCCAAGGCAGGGGGTGTTTTATGTTGGAGTTTGCATCTCCTAGCTTTTGCCTAAAAAGGCATATCCTACTAGGCAGCAGGACATGAAGCAGATTGTACTGGGTTACATGTTACTAGTACCAGGATAAACCTGACCTGACATAATTATAAATATTTGAAGGGCTTTTTGAAGAACTTTTTTTCTAAAATAAATTTTTTTTTTTAAATAGAAGAATCTGCAAAATAATTTCAAGTGAAAGCTAATTTTAAAAAATAGCTAATTTAATTGTCTAGCCCACTGTAGGCGATTTTTAGCAGAACATTTTTACTCAAAAGAAAGTAAAAATAGTCTGCATGCTTTTTTACTTGTTAAAAATTTGTGAAATTTAATAATATTTGAAATAATTTAAAATTCAAACAAGGTTATCCTTTTAAAAAAGTTATATATATATATATATATATATATATATTTCCGGGGCTATACTAAACTGTTTTTGACAGCGTCGATTGTATTTGGGCTTCTGCTTTGATCTTACTATGATGATATTATACTTGGTGCTTCCTGCTTTGATGGAATATAAGTTTGTTTAAACAAACTTTTAAAACTTTTTTTTTTTTAATTTTTTTAACCTACAGAAATTAAAAAAAAAAAATTTTAAAAGTATAAACTTATAATAATAATTTTAGCTAATATTTTTGAATTTCAAATTTTAGTTTGCTGGTGATAGTGTTGTAACAGGGCATGGAAAAATTCATGGAAGACCTGTGTTCTTGTTTAGTCAGGTAAGATTTAGATCAAGCAATTCTTTTTGTTTTACAAACTTATAAAACAAGACAAAAAACTGTTGTTTTTTTTTTAAAAAAAAAAACAGTTTTTTGTCAGACTTAAAAAGTTAAGAAAAAGTTGTAACCACAATAAGGTAGCCTCCTCGACTGTTATGGCTTTCTCAGCCTAGGGAGGTAAAGATAAAAAAATAAAGATAAAAAAGAGAATCTCAATTTGTAAAAATATTTGAATAAAAATTGTGATAATGTATTTCCAGATAATGATTCAAATGTTAGTAAATCTGCTCTGATAGCTGTTATTGTTGATTATAATAGTTAATAATTTAGTTGATATTATAATAGTTATAATGTGAATTTAATGCTACTAAATTCAAAATCTAATTTCTTGTTGGTTGGTTGATTATAAAAATTCATAAAGTTATAAAATATCTTTAAAAATACCCAATAAAACCCAGATTAACCGGGTTTTATTGTTTTTTTTAAGCAGGTTTGTTAATGCCTGTTTTAAAATAAAGTCAGCTTTACAAGATATAATAAAGGGATCCTCAAGTACCAAGACAAGTTGTGTTCATATATTAAATAAATCTTTGAAAATAATTTTGTGTTTCAAACTAAACTTTCTAAAAAAATTATTCATATTGTTTTTTTAAGATTTTTTGTAGACATTCTAAAAAAAATATTCTGTTCTTACCAATAAATTAAGATGCAGTTCGATCGAATTAACACAATTGTAAATATATATCAAATTTTTTGTAATCCTTCATGTTGATATTTTATTTCATAAAAAATTCAAGTAGAAGACATCTTAGTACAATTCAAGTACAAGACTTATCTTACTAAAGACATTTAAATTTAAAAGATAATTTAAAGAAAGATATTTAAATTTGAAATTTGATTTTGAATTTAGTTGCATTAAATTCACAGGTATTTTTAATCTGTTATTAATTTTTGTTCTTAATCTAAGAGTAACACAAAACTGTTAACAAAATTAATTAAATTGCGTTGTATTTATAACCTATATTATAATTGATTATTCTATCACTGTTTAAATAAATAGTCTGATATAAAATAATGCTTTTTTTAAAATAATAAGATCATTAAAATATTGTATACAATAATATAACCATAAAATAAATAAAATAAAACCCAATATAATCTTACTATTTATTTATTTTTCTTTTAATTTTAATAAAATTTCTTTTAGTTAAAATACACAATAGTAACAAGACATCGTAATACTAAACTAATTAACATCAATGTTAAACATTTTTAACAAAAAATAAATTTCTTTTTTTTCTTTTCCATGTTATTCACTTTCCCAAGTCCGAGAGGGTCTCTTCAACTCTTCACCTCTCTCGGCTTTTTAACTCTGAAACACAAGCGTTGACGAACAAGGAAGTTGCATGGAGTAACAAGGTAAGCACGGTACTACCAAGTACATGGCAGGGTTCGAATTTATACCTTCTTGCTCATGAAGAGAGCTCTCACCATTGTCGCATTTCAGTTTTTAAATAAAATAATAACATTCATGAATTTTATAATCATAACAGTTTCTTCCATTTTTTTTTAAAAAAAATTTCTTTACATTCTTTTAAGTAGAATAGAATAGAATAGAAAAGGTGCTGTACACACTTGAGGTGTGTAGAGTCTTAATTACGTAGAATTAAGACTATGACAGCCGATTACAAAAATTAGTGTTCAGAAACCGAAATAGTTATCGATACTGTTTTTAAAAATGTTCAAATTATCTTTATCTTATATCCATTGTGGAAGAGAATTCCAATCATTTATAACTCTGTTTGTAAAGAAATGGTGACGAATTCTTGATTTTGTAAATTGTCTGCGTATTCTACAATTGTTACTTCTACCAGATCGCTCCAGCTCAAAATTTAAAGGAGGGTGGTGAAAATTAACAATATCTTTCCCTTTTGAGATCTTATACATTTGAATCAGATCACCTCTTCTTCTTCTATCAAACAAAGTTGGCAATTCAAGTATCTTTAATCTTTCTTCATATGACTTCCCCCTTAAAGATTCAATTCTCGTAGCCCTGTGTTGCACGATTTCAAGATTGTCAATGTCCTTTTTCCAAAATGGACTCCAAACTGTTGCTCCATATTCCAAATGGGGACGTACTAACGATTTGTATAGTAACTTTAATGAAAGTTCATCCAAATACTCAAAAAAGTTTTTGATCATGCCTAATTTTCTGTTTGCTTTACCTATAGCTGAATTAATATGATGTTTCCACTCTAGATTATTTGAAATGAAAATCCCAAGATCATTTTCTATCATTGTTTCTGTTAAAACAGAGTTGTTCAATTTATATTCATATCTTAGATTCTTTATAATTATATAAGTAATAATAAATAATAATAAGTAATACTTATTATTATTTTTAATTTTTAAGTTGATATAGTTTTACATAAAATTTTACATACAACAACTTTTGCATTTAAACTGTGTTTTCTATAATTAAAATATTCAAGAGATCAATTTTCGTGACAATTTTTTTTTTTTTTCTTTTTTTTTGCTTTTTAATTTATTCAAACTTTTTCGAATATTAGAAATCCCTTTTTGTAAAAAGTTAAATAATCTAAATTCCGTTTGTCAGTTAAATGCGATAGAAAAACAGAAAAAAAATTTCCAGGATTTTCATTAAGTCAAATACTCATCTATGATAAGAGTCAAATCAGTTTAATCAAATTATACAATGATTTATAAGAGGTTTCAATTGTTTAATCTTTTGAGTTAAATGTCATCAAATAATAACTTGAATTCTATAACTACAGAGTTATGATTACAGGGGCTATTCTAGGAAAATAGTCGGGTGGCAGTACCCCCCGTGCTAGCGCTTGTAAGTATATTTTACGAAGTTGAATATAGGCATTTTTTCTCACAAAAAAAACTATATTTGTCATATATTTATATAAAAAAGTCCTTTATTTCTGAATTTGGATGGCATCCAAATTACTTAACTATGGTCAACTGTCGAAATAGGTCTAGAATACTGTTAAAGAGGGTCTAGAATAGCCCCTTGATTATACTTAAATGCGTATTTATTTTTAATCTCAGTATCAAATTTGAGTTTCCTGGTCTAAATAATCTTTAAAATCTAAAAATATTTACATTAACATCAAGTAATTTTAGATTTTTTGATTATTTAAAAAAATATATAGGTTTAAAAAAGTATCTTTAGATCTTTCAAGAAGACTGAATAGAATCGTGATCTAAAAAATATTGCTTTACACATTATAGGTTTTTAAAAAATGCGAAAAAGTATTACTACTAAATTGCGATTTTGATACCCATTTAAATTAATTATAATTAGCATTTTATTTGTGCACACCTTAATTAAATGTTCAGTCAAAATAGTAACAAACACTGAGTCTTCTAATTCATCTTCACCTTTGTTATATACATGGTTTGAACAATTGTCATTAGCCATTTTATATATTATCATATTTTCAACTTTCAGTTTCATGTTTTAATAGTATGCACTTGCCTGTGAGATAAGTAAAATTGCCTCTAAAAAAATCATTAAAAACAGGTGCTGAGACAACTAACTGGAAGTTTAGAAATTTTTACAGGATTAGATGAGCCTACTTTAATTTATAAAAAATTACAATACATATTTTTTATAAAATTATTTATTTTTATTTATATACAAATGTATATTTATAATATATATACAAATATAAATTTATCATATTATTAGAAAAAGTATTTGAATTGATTAATTTATCATATTATTAAAAAAAGTATTTGAATTGATCTTTAGAAAACTATTGTTGACAGAATTTTATCTTATGTTATGCAAGTTATTTTTATTCTAGCATTGCACAAAATGCCTTCTTAGTACATTCAGTTTAAATTGATTGTGTTTATTTATTTGTACTAAATTAAAAAAAAACCAATGTCAGTTAGTAGCATTACTATAACAAATGATTTTTTACTTTTAAATTTTAATTAATTGTTTTAGAGAGTTTTAGAGAGTTGTTTTTGTAGAGAAAGATCATTCCGTAGAAAATTCAAACTTCTATATATAACAGATTTAAAACTGCAATGTAAGGGTAAATTTTTTATATTTATCCATACTAAAACCTTATCATTTTCTCAGCTCAACTTTGTTGCTTATTAAAAGAATGTAAAATACAATTACATAAACTTATTAATTAAATTTTTAAATTTAAATGATTGAAGTTTAAATGCTAATGATTTCTAATTAAATTCTAATGATTTCAGTTTTAGTCAAAAACAAAGGCGTTAGTAATAAATAACTAAAAACTTTTTTTAAAAACTGAATTTTATAATAATTTAAACAAGTTTACTAAAAATAAAGTTTAATATAGAAACCAATTAAATGTGAAAATTAACTTTAATACTACTGTAAAACCTTCATTTTTAAATTTATGTAAAACTCTGTGCAAAGATTTACTTCAATATTGAATTAGTTTATTTAAATGTTAGTCATTTAGTTTAATTAAGAGATAGTGTTTTACGAAGGCAAAACCTATTAAAATTTATTAGGAATTGGTTAATTTCAAAATAAATTATTTTTTATTTACAAAGTTCAGTTTACTAACTTCGGTTTTCCCTCATGTCTATATGTCACCTGGTTAAATTGACTCAGCAAATTTTTTTTTTTTTTTTTTTTATCAATTTTTTTTTCTGCTATAAAAAATGTTAAAAATTTTTTTGATAGTTGATAAATATTTGTGTTTTTTATTTTTCATTTTCTTTATTTTTCATTTTTTTTTTTTTTGATATTTATATTTTACTTTTTGTTTTTATTTTTAAGTTTAATATATTTAGCTAAATTTTTTTTTTTTTTATTTATTTTTTTTTTTTTTAATGCTAAACTTATAAATTAAAATATTGAGTTTTGATCAAATGATTTTATTTGGAGAAAAAATGTAGGAAAATAAGGCTAATCAAATCTCCAGACCGGCTTCATTCTTGTAATATAAAAATTTTTTAAAATAGTTACATTTTAATTTGTTTAAATTTTAGTGGTGATTAATTTTCTTTACAAAATGTTTTATTTGTTTATTAAATTTTTTTATTTTTCTTTAAAAAGGATTTTACAGTTTTTGGTGGCAGTCTATCCATGACACATGCAAATAAAATATGCAAGGTATTAAAAGTTTATTTTATTTTACAGATGTTTTATTAAGAAAAGTTTAAGTTTGTTCTGGACAAATCAGAAATTTAATAAATATTTATTTCATTAAATAATAATATATATTGTGTATTTTAATTTTTGATCTTATTTTAGATAATGGATAAAGCTGTTATGCTGGGTTATCCTGTTATTGGTCTAAATGATTCAGGTGGTGCTCGTATTCAAGAAGGCATTGACTCATTGGCTGGTTATGCCAATATCTTTCAAGTATATAAGCTTTATTAAAAAATGCAATATATTTTTTTAATATGCGTTGATATACTTGTATGCATCTATATATGTGTGCATGCAATTTTCACATAGGGTTTTATCTCGAAAAATCAGCTCAGCTATAGTTAAAGATGAGTTAGAATTTTATAGATAGAAGTCAGTTAATAGAAAGTCAGTTAAAGTTTTAGTGCATTTGCATTTTTGTCTAATATAAAATTTTTTAAAACAAAATGTTTCTTTGTAGTGTGCTTTGTTTTGAATATGGTAAAGCAGATTCGAACTGTGATGAAACTTGAAACAAAACTTTTTTCATTTTTTCTCTAAATATATATATTTTTTAATTGATTTTTCTAGAAAGTAAATTATAGTAAAGTTAAATATTTTAACATATGATATCATGGACAAAATAATAATAAATAAGGTTTCAGTATTTTTACAAAAATACTTTTAATGTCTTTGGCTAAAATGATCCCCAAGTGCTTATGCAACTGGTATTTTTATTGTAAAAAAGAATGATTTAATTTACATACAAGCTTGAGTTTTTCTTTTATTTTTCTGTTATTTTTTTATTGCCATTAATAATATTAAAGAAAACTTACTAAATAAAACTTATTAAATTAGTAAACAAATTTAGCAATTTCAAAAATTTATTTCAAAGTTATCAAAAAAATTTACATTTATACAAAGTAAAATACATTGTAAAAAAATACATTGTTGATTTAAGGTTATTGATAAACTTATTGCTAGCATTAAATAATATTTTTTTTAACTAGTTTTTGTATAGTTTAGTTCCATCTTAATTAACTTTTTAATTTTAATAATAAAACAAGATCAATTAAGGGGAAAAATTTTTAAATAAAGAAAACTTTCAATCAAGCAAATTTTAATTTTTATTTTTTAAAATTATGTTGTAATTTTGGGCAAAAATTGGCATCAGTCATTTATTTCAATACAATGTTTTTTGGAGCCATATCTTGAACCCGACCAAGATAAGCAAAATTGTTTCCCTCAGCACAGGACTGATCCTGTCATAAAGTTTTAAAAATAATATATAAAAAAAAAAAGGTTTCCTCAACTATGAGTTACAAATTTAAGGACTAAGTCAGCTTTAATTGACTATAATTATGTTTTTATGTAAAATATGTTTTAAATTAAAATTATTTTATATTCCAGCGCAATGTATCTGCATCAGGTGTTGTTCCTCAAATTTCTCTTGTTATGGGCCCTTGTGCAGGTAATGTAGTAGATTAAAATATGTTAACTGACTTTAACACTGTTTTACTGTCTCACATTATAAGTAATGAGAAATGTTTTTCTTTTGCATTAAGTTTTTATCTTCAAAATTTAGGAGGTGCAGTCTACTCACCAGCAATTACTGACTTTACTTTTATGGTAAAGGTATGGTAGCCTTTTCATATTTTTTTTTTCTACTGTCTAATCATTATTTGCAATTCTGCTTATTAAACTTGATGATTATTTAAAATAGTCTTGAAACATTTTTTAAATAAAGTTAAAAAGAGTTCTGTTGTTTTTTTAGTTTTATATAATTTTATAAAAACAAACCGAAATATACTCATTTTTTTCTAACAGGATACTTCATATTTGTTCATAACTGGTCCTGAGGTTGTTAAGGTAATTCTTCAGAAAATTTTGTTTTTATTAAAAAAAAATTTATGTTATTTTTCTTTATTTACTTTATTAGCGATTTATATTGTTATCCATTTTCAGACAACAAATTATGCCAGTGATAAATTCACATCACGTTTAAGTTAATACTTTTTTATCTGCTTATTGATAAAGTTCTTGTAATAAATATTTTCAGAGGACTAAGCCATCTGCACACATAAGACATTAAAGAGGACTAAGTCATCTGCACACATAAGACATTAAACAAATTTTTACAATAATTAAAATAGTCAGAAATTACCAAGAGTAATATAAATAAATTGTAATTTAGCAAGTTATTTTTCTTTTATTTATATTTTTTTAAATATAAATGATGGTTGTACCACAAAATATTTTTATGTGCTAAATGTGATGATGGTATCCCTGACTAATTGACACAATTGGCTAATTGACACAAAAACTGAATTTGTGTCGAGGGCTTTTAATCAATGTCAAAAAATAGGCCCCAGCTCCAAGCTCAGACTTCATTAAAAATTTTAGCTGTTCCAGACGGAGCTGTTCCAGACGAAACATAATAATAAAATTCATAATAAAATAAAATAATATAAAATAATATCATCATAATAAAATATTATGTATAAAATAATATAATATAAAATAATATCAGGTTTTGGTAATTATATTAAGATTGTTTGATATAAACTCAAGTGCAGAAAATAGTCTCTCATCGCATACTTGTGAGAAAGATATAAAAGTAACTACTCTGCACACATCAGTATTCTTTTTTTATTATTCCTCATTTCCCTCAAAAACTTATTTCACTTTTAAATGTTCCTTTTCTTCCGGTTGTGATAGTTGTCCATGAAATTTGTATTAAAAGTATTTTTATTTGAAAAAATTTATTTTGGTTACTTTGTTTTTAATCAAGTTTTTTCTAAACTTGTCTAATTCTTTATCAGAATTAGATTTACCTAAAACTGAATGAAGAATTGTATATGATTTAGGTGGTTTTCCTTTTTCTTGATTTACTGTTATATTTTTGGCATCTCTTTTTTAAGTTAGTTTCTGCTATTGCTTTTAAAGTTTGTTTTGCTCATATATTTGATTATCTTCTAACAATATTCTACAACTAGCATCAACATAAACTGCAATTAAAAACATATGAATTTCTTAGTTTCTTCACAATGTACCGGACCTTTGCCAAAAGTTGGGTAGTGTATGTTTCTAAAGCATCACAAATAGCTGCAAATTGTGAACAATGCTACAATGTATATAAAAACTTTATATACATCAATTTAAGTATAATTTTTAAAATATTAAATTTGTAAGTATCTCAAGGTGAGCATCAAATACTTAACACTCAATCTATACATTTAATATTAATATCAAAATATAAAATGCTTTATTTAAAAATCATAAAACTTTAAATGACATTAACTACAATTTAATTAAAAAAATTATTTTTTATATGAAAAACAACTTCATAGAACTTCTCTTTAACAAAAGAGAATAGGAATCTCCTTAAAAAATACTCATATTTGATCTTCCAAATTATCAAAAAGAGAAGCTAGCCTGAAGCCAGCTCCACTTAGAAATATTTTAGCTCCAGCTCAGCTCCTTGTAATAACACAAGTTTCAGATAGCTCCGGAACAGGTCTAAAACCCTGCTTATCTCCTTTTAATCATGCCGCACAGATCTTCTTTTTATTATTCTAAAGTTTATGTTATGTGGCACTTACCCCTTTTTAGCCAAGCAACCTATTTATTTTAATGAATATTAGATAGCTTCATTAAATAAAATCTGTTGCTATGCTTAAAGCGGCTAAGTGACATGTAACACCATATTCTATTTAGCGAAGGTACCTTGCAACAGAATTTATTTAGTATAAAAATTGTTTTTTTTTAAATGTATTTAAATTTCTGAAAATTTAGATTAGATAAATTAGTTTTTTTGTTAGTTATATCACAAATTTGTAAATTATTTACAAATTTTACAAGTTATAATATATTTAATAGTTTTATCAAAGTTCAAAAGAACTGTTTTGAAATCAAATAAATCAAGTTTATTTTTTAGACTGTAACAAATGAAGATGTAAGTTTTGAAGAACTTGGAGGGACTAAAGTACATACAACTATATCAGGTGATTAAAGCATGATAAAAATGATTCTAAAGTATTTATTCCTATGTTTAATGTTTATGTTTGGTATCTTCAGGTGTTGCCTCTGGTGATTTCGAAAATGATGTACACGCTTTATCTCAGTGAGTCTAAATTACAGAATTACAGAAATAGTTCTATTTTCTTATACGAGTTTGTTATAAGTTTTAAGATAAGAATGGATGTTTTTTAAATTATAAAAAAAACATTAGGTAAAATTTCATTTTTTTCTTAGCAAAAGAAAATTTTTATGATATTAAAATTAATAATTTATTTTAATACTTTTTTTGTCTAGATTACGTGAATTTTTTGATTACCTACCATTAAGTAATAAAGATGAAGCTCCGATTAGAGTTTGCCATGATCCACGGTTATTATTTATTTTAACGTTTTTAAAATAAATAAGATTTATTTAAACGTTTTTAAAATAAATAAGATTTATTTTAACGTTTTTAAAATAAATAAGAGTTATTTTCTAACTTTTGTCGTTTTTGTTTTAGTGATCGGTTATGTCCAATGTTAGAAAAGATTGTACCATTAGATCCAATGAAAGGATATGATATGAAAGAAATTATGAAAGCTGTAATTTAGTTCATAATTTTTTGCATCTTTAGTTCATATTTTAAAAAAGAGAATTATCTATAATTTATTCATTTAATTAACAGTTTTAAGAATTTTTATGATCTGCTTTATTAATCATCGTTTCTTTTCATTTTAAGTGAGAATAATATATATAATTAATTAAAGAGAAAATAAATTTTATTGAAGAGTATAGAATATAAAGAATATATGAGTTCTAAAATGCTTAAATTTTTATTTATTTTAATATTATTGGTTTCAGCTTCTATGTTTTAAAAATTATTTCACTAGTGGTGTACAGAAATAGAAATATTTTTTTATAGGTTGCTGATAATGGTGAATTCTTTGAAATCCAATCCAAGTGGGCTGAAAATATTATTATAGCGTTTGCTCGCATGAATGGTAAAACTGTTGGTTTTGTTGGAAATCAGCCATTAAAACAAGCTGGTAAATTATCTCTATAATTTTATTTTTTATAAAATTTCCCTTTTTTTAATTTTATTGTTTTTGTGTGTTTTGTGTTTTTTTTTTTTTTTTTTTTTTTTTTTTTTTTTTTTTTTTTTTTTTGTGATGAAGTCAACATATTGTATTTAAAGTTCCTTTTTTGTGATGAATAGTTTTTGTGCAGAAGGTTAATATTCGCTGAGTTCCTTTTTTTCAATAGAAATTGTTGACTTTAATGAGAGCTAATTTTTGTTTTATGTGTAACAACTTTGAAAAAATGCTTTCTGATTGATACTTAATACTTAATAAATAATAACATAAAATAGATGAAAAAATATTAATTTTCAAGATAATTTTTCAAAACAAATATTTGTTTAGGATGCTTGGACATCAATGCATCGACAAAAGCAGCTCGTTTTGTGCGCTTTTTGGATTGTTTTAATATTCCAATTATTACTTTTGTTGATGTTCCTGGATTTCTGCCAGGTTTGAGTTGTTTTTACATTTTTCAAAGTATATGTTATTTAAAAAAAATTTATACAAAATCTGAAAAATCTGTAAAAGTGTGAAATACATTTCACACTTTTACAGAAATTATTTTTATTTTTTTGTTTGGTTTGTTCAAGATTTCTTAAATAATGAAGTTCTAAAGAAGTTCAGTTTTGCAATTATTCTATTTAAAAATATAATTTTTTTTTTTCAAAGGTGAAAAAAGTAAAATTCATAACGTCAAAATTTTTAAGCATAAGTCTCTCAGCATAATAGATTAAAATTTATGAAATCAACTAGATAAATTTGATTTGTGTGTTAAAAAAGTTTTTGTTTAAGTGAATTTTCTTCACAAATGGAATTTCTTTTGTGATTTTAAAAATATTCTTGATTACTTTTGGGTTTTTATGAGCTAAACGCCATAAAAATGTTGTAAAAGTGTGTGTATACAATTTCTTCTTAAAGCATATATGTGTGTTAGTTTATATGTTGAAATAAATCCACTTCCATGTATGTTGAAATAAATCCACTTCCAATTTTTTACAATTTACCTTATGTAAATCCACTGACAATTTTTTGCCAAACTCAACTAATGATAGCTGATAACTCAATTTTGATTTTTTTGTGCACCTACGAATACCTAGGATCTTTTTTAATTAAAAAATAAATAAAAGCAATAGTATTATGAAAAGTAGTTGACCAAAAGTATATATAATCATTTTTTCTCTATAAATCATATACAACCTATGATATATATACCTCTTTATAAATCTTTTATTTTCTATATCTACCTACAAATCATCTTTATATGGATTTAAAAAAGTTTTAAAGTTGTCTTTGAGTAAGTCCAATGCATTTTTAATGTTCTAGGACCTGCTCCAAGTCTCTGAATTATCATTAAACTAAGTTGCATCCTTTTTCTTCATGCTCAAAAAGCTTATGTTTTTTTCCTTTCGCATAAATGCTCTAAAATTTTCTGTCATCATATTTTATTTGGCTTACAAAATTTATAATTTTTTAATGCTTTTGTAAACAGTTTTCTTGCTTTTTGATTCTTTTCTTTGTTTTCTTTTTTCCTTTTTTGTGATAATATTTATATCTTTAAAAATAAGAAATTTTTTAATTATTCTTAAGTTCCTGCCGGGCATTTATAACACCCTACATTTTTAAGAAGTCAATTTTAAACAAAGATTAACTTTAAAATCTTAAATCAACAAAATATAAACCACCCAAAAGATTTTAATTTTTAAACTTGATTAAGATATAATTGATATATACTTTTTTATAAAAGATTTTATTAATAAGAACTTTCTAAAGCATACATTTATAATTTATTTTTTGCTTACTTAAAATATAAAAGTTTGTATGTAAAGCAATATTTAGACAAAGAAGTAATTGGTTGCAATATGAATTAATTTTTGCCTGTAAATTTTTCTTACTTGTAAACTTAACTTTCAAAAAATATTTTTTAAATAAAATTTCTAAATTATTTTTAAATTTTTTTATCTTAGGTGTTCATCAAGAACATGGTGGTATTATTCGTCATGGTGCAAAACTTTTATATGCATATGCTGAAGCCACTGTTCCAAAGATCACATTTATTACTAGAAAGGTATTTTAAATAAAGATCATTTAGCTCTTTTTTTAAATGTTTTATCATGATCAATGTCTATATCAATTTTTTATTTTGATTGAAAAAACCAAATATTCGTTTTATTTTCCTTGTTTAAAAAGTGTTCTACTGATTGTAAAAAGAAACTTTCTGGGTTTGTTATAGTATCAGAAATAAGGAAACAACACAAACCTCTTTTTTCCAAAAAAGTTTTTGTTTTAGTGAATTTTCTTCACAAATGGAATATGTCATGGTCTTAAACTGGAACTTTTTAAGTTACAAAACTTTATATCATATGAAATGATCCTATTGTTTGTTTTTTTGTATTTTAGTTTTTAGTTTTGTTTTTTTTTCTGTTAAAGTAAAAAAATATTTTTCTTAATATTGTTTGTTTTTAGAAAATTTTTTAATGATTTGACTACACTCATTTTAAATATTTTAAATGTAACAATTAAATTTGCAAATAAACAATTAGTTGACTATAGTTTGTATATTAGCTTTTATATTACATGCATTATTATAGGCTTATGGTGGTGCTTATGATGTCATGAGTTCTCAACATTTAAGAGGAGATACCAATTATGCGTGGCCAACTGCTGAAGTTGCTGTAATGGGAGCCAAGGTACCTTTTTATGCTGAAAATATATTCATTTCTTTACCTACTGCATTTTAATTATGTTAAAAACAGAAAGAAAAATAGAGTTTGTTTAAAAAAGTAAGAGAAACTTGCCATAGAAAAAAGATTTTTTTTAATTTTAGGGAGCTGTGCAAATTATCTTTCGAGGAAAAGATCCCGAAAAAATGGGTAAGATACATAGCATATAAGTTATATAGTATATATATATATATATATATATATATATATATATATATATATATATATATATATATATATATATATATATATATATATATATATATATATATATATATATATATATAATATATATATATATATAAGTTTAGTGTGACCATAGACCTCATTAGCTCTATTTTCATTAAAGCCTTCTTCTCAAATTGCTCATATATAACTTTATATAGTAATATAACACTAAAAAAGTTTTAAAAAATTTCGTGCCACATGGCCCTACATAATTTTATGTTATAAAAAAGTTTTTTATGTTAGGTCTCAAAAGTAGTGAAACTATAAAAATTTCAAAAATAACAATTATTTAACATCACTTCATATGATTTTTTTTAGATTTTGTTGCATAAAAACTATGGCTTTTTAATATAAAATGGTTTTTAGTATCATGTGTGGTACTCCTGAAAATATTCTTCAAATTTTGTTTTAAGCACCCCCTCCCCATCTTCTCTGTATGCATATTCTCTAAAACATATACACACACTCATTCACATACGTATGCATGCGATATATTATACTATAAACATTTTATTATACAAGCATACTTAGGTGTGTATAGTATGATATTAATTTTTACTGTAATTTTGTTGCAGCTCACGATGAAAAAGAATATGTTGACAGATTCGCCAACCCATTTCCTGCAGCTGTAAGAGGTAAAAAAAAATTCTAAAATATTTTGTTTTGATACAAAAAAGTTTATTGCTCTATAGCAGAAATTATATTTTTCCGAATTAAGTACATTGACTTTTTATTTATTATACTAAGAAAGAGAATTTGTTGCTAGGTTTTATTTATATAACGTTAATTTCAACTCATTTATTTTAAGGATACATAGAGGATATTGTACATCCAAGCAACACTCGTGCGCTTATATGTAACGACTTAGAATTACTGACAAAAAAAGACCTTAAGAATCCATGGAAAAAACATGGTAACATTCCACTGTAAAAGATAAAATATAAACTTTTTGTTCTGTGAAATTTAAGTGTCTAAACCAAATGGGAAATCAAATATAAGAAATTTTTTTTAGTGCTAGTATTTTTTATTTTTTTTTTAAATACATTTTTTTTAAACCTATTTCTCTTCATTTAAAAATTTTCTTTTTCCCTTCGTTTAGAAATTTTTTATTTACGTGTTAAAATTTTTACGTATATTTGTAAAACAACTGTAATTTGATGACGTTTAGTTGGATAGTGGCGTATTTTTTATATCCGATTTTCATGTCACAAGTCACCATGCATCAAAGTTCATTTATTTCAGTCAATGCAATAAAATTGTTTTAATTTTTTATTTATGTGAGTAATGATAAAGAGGAGTTCATTTCAATTGAGTTCTATACCGTGTGAGACTTCTATACCTTGTGAGATTTTTTATTGCTGAAAAGCTGCTTTGTTTCACATACTCTAAAAACCAAAAAATTTAAAATTTTTTTCTATGGAGGCTAACAGAGAAAAGGTTGTAATAGTTCTGCAAGCGGGTTTAGCAATATCTGGCATTAATAAACAATTTTGCGTGTCAAGAGCCACCGTTTTCAACTTAAAAAAACGTTTGAAAGAGTCAGGCCATTTTAAAAGAAAGAGTTAATACCAATAGTTTCAACAAAAACCTGGTCAATCACATCAAACCCCAAAATATAAGTTTTAAATCTGATCAAAAACATTAAAGCTTGCAGGAATCCACAAGAGAGAGGCCTAAGTGATTTTACTGTTTAAAATTACTTAGTGCAATATTGGCTTCCATACGTAAATTTCCTCCAACTGATCGACTACAAAGGCTGAGGCTCGAAAGTTTAAAAAGATGAGGTTAAAAAAAAAGACTGCTTTTCTCTTTAATTTAATTTTAAGATTTAATCAAGTTAGAGATAACATCAACTTAAGTACAATTTTAAAATTAAACAAAAATAAAAACATCAGGAAATGAAATCTCATAATTACAACCATGGTAGATGATGCTATCTCATAAGTACAACCACGGTAGATGCATGGTAGTCGAAAGACAAATGCTTTTAAAACAAAACATCCTCAAGTTATGATGTATGGTCTTGTTGCATATAGTTGACTTAAAATCACAAGGATCGGTTTTAGGACCTATGCTTTTTATAAAATATAAATAATAGTTAAACAATAAAAGTTGAACAATAATTCAAAGCTATATGTTGATGATTTAGAAATAAATGCAATTAAACAAAAAAATCTCTACAGTTTAATCTTGACATCTTATATGACTGGAAATAAAAATGTCCAATCAATTTTAATAAATATAAATGGTCGTGATAATCCTAATATAAAGTATACTTAAAATGTAATGTTATACAAAAAGATAACATTCAACATAAATTAGTAGTAAAGTCATTGGAAAAAGAGCTTTTCATGTTACGGGCAATTTACTTTCGGCCAAAATTATTTTCTAATAATTTTAAATGGGTTTTTTTTACAAAAATACAATCTTCGGTCAAACACCCATCATAACTATCACTCGAGCAGAGTAAAATCACAAGTGTCGAAATTCTCAATTATTCCTATGATTATGGAATCAATTAAAAAATAACGGTATAAAAAACTTAAAAAGTACTTTCTCTTTTAAATATATATATGTATATATATATATATATATATATATATATATATATATATATATATATATATATATATATATATATATATATATATATATATATATATATATATATATATATATATATATATATATATGTATATATATATATATATGTATATATGTATATATATATATATATATATATATATATGTATATATATATATATATACATATATATATATATATATATATATATATATATATATATATATATATATATATATATACATATATATATATATATATATATACATATAGTGTAGTCGAAAGAGCATCGACTGACAAATAGCCTGACTCGCAACGGAGTGCTGCTACATCGACTGACAAATAGCCTGACTCGCAACAGAGTGCTGCTACATCGACTGACAAATAGCCTGACTTGCAAGGGAGTGCTGATACAACAACTGACAAATAGCTTTGAAGGGAGTGCTGCTACATCGACTGAGGGTTTGGTTTGGGCAGGCAGTCTATCATTTGAAAAAAAAAAAAAAAATTTAAGTTTTTAAACTTTTTCTGGTATATATATATATATATATATATATATATATATATATATATATATATATATATATATATATATATATATATATATATATATATATATATATATATATATGTTTTTTTTTTTAAATACAGCTCTTATTATTGGTATATAAACAAAAAATAAATGTAAAAAAAAAAAATAATATTGAGGGAAAGATATGGTGAAAATTTCAGACAAAAATCTCAAGTGGCTCTTAAGTAATTATATTAGAGAACAACTTGAATATAAATAAACAAAACGTACGAAAATGTGCAGAAATAAAAAAAATAGATTTAAAAATCTACAAACATACCAAGTATTACATATAAAATTCTAATTGAAATTAGAAACCTTCTGGTTTATTTGTTTTTCAGTTTTTTACTATAATTTTTGAAGACGATGTTAAAATTAGTCACTGCGTCATACGCACCAAACTTTAGCTTTATCAAGGAGATAAATTTTGCTTTTGGTATGCGATTCCAAAACTTTCCATTAAACGACTCATTCGCGTTTTGAGTCTTGCCATGAAGACATTTTCAAAGCTCGTTTTCTTTATTAAGGTCTTTAAACACAAGTCTGATCTTGTATACCACATCTAATGGAAGACCAGGTACATGACCAAGGAAATGATAGGTTTTGTTATTATTTGCTTTGTTGCTGCTAAATTTATACAAATTATATGCACCCGTTGGACAATGCGGGTAGTGCTAGTTGTTAATTTTTGATAGTGCGACATAAAAAAGGAGAAGCAAGCTCTGCTGATTTCATTGCAACTGTATAATCAGCATTTTGTCTGATTGCCGCACCAAAAAATATTACTGAAGAAAACTGCAAAGACAATATTCAATAAAGAAAATCCCCTACCCTGCTATGTGCCATCGCATGTTATCATTGATATCAATACCAAAAAACTAATTTTTGTTGCTGTAGCTAATTTAAGTAAACAATGTCAAAATCATCATTTTGACATTGTTTACTTAAATTAGCTACAGCAACTTATTTAAACATCTATAAGACTCGACGAAACTCAAATTGCTGTTGAATAAAATTTAATACTCCTAAAGATGGAAAGGTTTGAAATGCCTTGACTGACACAAGTTCTCAAAAAAAATATTACACGTATAACTCGACTACTAAAATGATGAACGGTGAACTAAATGGTTTGGTTGTTATGAAAGAACACTATGGTTTTGGTGTTTCTTCTTTGCATGGGTGAATACGAACTTTGGTTGGAATTTTTTTTGAGTGTATGTTACAGTTTTTTTGAGTGTATGTTAGCTATCGTTTAGATTAACAAAAAGATGAAAAGTTGGAAGCGATGTTCAAATAGTATTCAAAAACGCTCCAAAGATACCAAACAAAAAATTAAAAACTATATGGGCCTTATTGTAGAAAAACAAAAAACCTGGCTTTGCAAATATTTAAGACTTGAACACAGCTGGCAGGTTTTTTATGAAACCAGACTTAAGTGGTGAGTTTCGGGTTTTAAACGTCAACTCCATTAAAAATTTTAGTATTTTATTTAGCAAATTTTCCTCTGGCTCTGATATTAATTATTTTGAATTTAAAAAAATTCTGTGTTCTGAAACCAAAACTCTCTATCAAAAGTCTATATCCGTGGTATTATAGTAACGGTACAATAAACTCACGTATTTCTACAAATATAGATTTGCTCATTAGCTTTTGGTAACATCAGATCCTGTCATCAGCTTACACAGAGTAAGAACATCCAGTAAGAAAAAGTACCGTTGAAAATTTTACGTTATTAGCTGAATTATAGTTAGTATATATTTTTTTAAATTTTAGACAAAACGTTATTACATAATTTATGTATTGAAATAAAGTACTTATTTTTATTACATAATTAACTTTTTTTTAATTCTAAAATTTTCTAAAACTTAAAAATAATCAATAAAACACCAAAGTATATTTATCTAAATTCAATTTACTATCAAATTAACTTACAAAATTTTTTATATTTGCTAATTTTTAAAAATATCCTTAATAGCTTTGTGCAATTGGCCTAACTTTCTACAAGTATTTTTATTGTCCTTTTATTCTTAAGATATTTCTTTTTGCTTGATTTTTGAAGACTATAATTTTTTTAAACAAACTATGATTTCGCTGCTGTAACATTTTTTTATCTGAGATATTCTATCCAACTTATTATTTTTTTGAAAATTGCAACCGTCCTTAATGCCATATAAATATTTTTCAATTTTTAAAATTTTCCATTTGTTGTTATTATTATTTTTTTCTACCGTGCCTAACCTATCGGTAATACGTTTGAGATTTGCTTTTTTTATCGCATTAAATAATCTTTAAGTACCACTTGGTTTTTTTAACCCCTTTTTATGTTTTTAAAGCTTAATTGAAACTATTTTTTTAATGTTCTTCATTTATATACCCATTTTTTTAATATATAAGCTTATAGCTAATAGAAACCTATAAATAAATGCATTCCAAACATTTTTGAAAACTTAAAAAAAAAAAAAAGGAATTTCTACCAGTTTCAAAAACATCTCGAAACCCTCCTACAAAAAATTACAAGTTTAGATGACTTGGATGACTCCGCAGCATCACCTGAATTTCAATTTAAATAGAAAAGGTTAGAATCAAAATTAAAGTTAAAAACTAGAAACAGAATAACAGTTGATCCAGACTGTGTACAATTAACAATTAACAGTTGATCCAGACTGTGTACTTTCAGTACAGAGGAAGACAGATATAGAGATATCAGAGCGGATATATATATATATATATATATATATATATATATATATATATATATATATATATATATATATATATATATATATATATATATATATATATATATATATATATAAATATATATATATATATATATATATATATATATATATATAT